AAACGTTTCACCCTCTCAGTCAACAAGCTCCTCAGTCTAATCAAATGGGAATCCAATAAAGCTATGGATAACCCCCAACAAACAACAGGACCCCCAATATCCTCTAACCCTAATCCATGTAAATGGTCACCAAACACCGTTGTAGTACCCATTTAAACCGGCCCCAACCATTACCATCAATCCTGAGATCAGACCAGAGTATCTAAGCTCTTAAGATGCAATTATTAAGCATCTAGTAAGGATAAGGCAATAGGATGGCACACGTCTGTCCTCTACTGTCAGTCTTGTTTTCACAGTTTCAGTGTGTGGCACTCATGTATTTCTCATGTTTTTCTTGTTGATCGAAGGAAATTTGATTTATGTATACAGAAATGAAAACAGTCACTTTGCTTACATTCAGTTGGCCACCAAAGTCTTTGTTAAAGTACGAAATAGCATTTTGTGGAGTGCTGGTACACAGTCTGCCAGCTCCTATTAATAGTCAAATTGGGAGAGAGATGTGTCTTTTGAGGTCAATCATTTCCTTCCTCACTTCTCTTTAAAGCAGCAGAATTGAGCTTGTTAGGCGGGATGAGAAACACACACAGTAAAAGAAAACATGCCCATTTAGCAGCTGTTTCTCTTTTTCTTCCTCTTCTTCTTCTGCGCCACCTGAGAGAGAGAAAAAACCCCTCTCACAGCTGGGTTGTATCCTCAGGTTTTTGTCTGCTGCTGCATTTCCTCACTTCCTCAACATTCACTTTACAGTAACTCAAAAATAATAGGAACCAATTATGGAAGTTAGCAGTGATGTAATCGTGTTTTCTTTTTGGTTTTTTGGTTTTTTTGCTGTTGAATGCTTGTCGTATTTGGATCAAAATGTCATATTTTAATCACATCCATAATTACTTTCCCTTCAGATTAAAACTCTTGTATTCAAGCGAGAGCATTCCATTCACAAGCAATTGGATGAGAGTCTACTTAGCCCTCGGCAACTAAAGATGATGCTACCATGGAAACAAATTGTTCTGCTATCAATCACCGGATGCCTTGCAGGTAAGGTATTTTACACGTATTGTATCTGAGTCTCACTGCACATGTTGTTATGGTTTATGTCACCACAAAACCTCTCCTGAGAAAGACTCATTTTTAATGTGTGTGCATTAAAGTACAGTCTTCTTATGTTCTTTTTGCGTTTTTGTTTTTTTTTACATTCTCACAGCAGTGTTTTTTTTTTAAATAAAATGTGGATATACTTTAGTCTCACTAGGAGGAAATAGTTGAGCATTTGCAAGTAACCTTAGAAAAATCTTCTGACCAAAAAAAGGTTACACTAATTAAACCACAGTCATTATATGTACAGTGTTCCAGCATGATGTCCTTCACCATTCCCTAGAGCGGTGTGCCCACTGCACGTTTTCACTACCCCATCAGGGACATCTGGGAGTCCAATCCTATTCCTGTTTATGGCCTGTCCCGATCATTATCAGGATCCATGCAGTGAATCCAGACTCACATTTTAGCACAATCTACTTGCCACCGCGCCTCATTCTGCCCTTGTGCAGCCACCTGGGATTCTACAGCAGAAGCACAGAGACTCAGAATGTCAACCCTTGTTCAAATGACATTGTAAATCCCAATGAATGTTATTCAAATTGGCTCATGGGTAATTCACAGCCCTGCACCCAAAGGAGCGAAATCCAAGCAGCCTCACCTTGCTAGCGGACGAGTTTTTTTAACAGGGCCTGTAGGTGCTAGTTCTTATTCGGTGTTGTCATCACGCACCGGGAGCGTCTCGGCAGTCGCTGCGGCCGATAACAATCATTAATGACATGTGAAGCGAGGTGCTGTCTTGGTTCTCCGTTCTGGGACAATGAAGCAGCCACACGGAATAAACTCACACCTGTGTTGTTAGCCTGTGGGATGAATGAATTCACTCCTGCATTCGCTCATGCTACCATCATTTGTTGATAGATCATTCGGCAGCAATTGTTTTGAAACATGATGCTTTTCATCCCTAATTTCACCTCCGGATTTCTCCAAGTCCTTCTTCCCTGTATTCCCAAAGCACTGCTGAGAGCAGCCGTGACTCACCGTCCTGCCTTGTTACTCAACCTGTTTTGATTCCTTGACACATTTTCGCCGATTAAAACCACATGTAGAACTGCTAGCCACGTGCCACAATCTGTTACCAGTAGGATATTAATTAGGCCTACACTGGCCGTCTGTTGACTCTGCTTTAGCACCAGATTGTGTTCAACATCCTTTCATTTTTGGCTGCTGGCAGATGAGCGCATCCTTATGGCCTCAATTAACATGCATGAGTAACATGGCGTAGATGTTCCGAAAATACAACGCCTCGCTTTATTTATCAACCCAGTCATACCCAAGCCATCGTTAATTACTGGGGGAATATGTGAAAACGGGCTCTCTGCATTAACTGTTGTTGACTTAGGCGCTTAACTTAAGTCCCTGCACTGTATTCAGCTGTTCCTGGCAAGTAATTAACAACCACCTCACTTTAGTTATATCAGTCAGCGAGCTCTGTTTGACTCGCTAGAACTCACAAATCTCTTAGCCAGCTAAATATTGCAATCAAAGCAGTAGGTGACATATTTTCCAGGATTTTTATTTACTCGCATAATCACATCCGACTACAATATAATGATTTGTCACAAGGATAAAATGACAGAATAAAGCAGGGCCTTATGGAAAACTGGCCTAGTGTGTAGAACTTGAGTGAATTCGCATAAGTGCCTCGGCCATTGCTCTTTTCCTCATTATTCCAAGTGTCACACTCATCTGAAAAATGCAGTAGCACACAGAGGAACAGATAACAAATATGTCAGCATTAGCTGTTAATGCCTAACATGGGTAAGTAGGATTTACTCTCCTTGCAGCAAGATAAGCAAATAATGTACACAACACATCGCGAGGAGTGTCCTAATGCATTCTTCTTTGTAAAGTGAGGTACTGCTCAGAGAATAGGAGGTAATATACTGCATAGAGTATATTGAAAAAGTAATATACACTGAGTGTCAGAAGGTTCCTGTATTTCTGCAAGATTAACTATTTGCCCTCACAGAGATTGTGCTTCTTCCAGTATTTTCTCTTAAGGTCAAAGAGACAAATTTTCTAGCTTGTACAACTATAGACTTTCTCCCCTTTCTACAGCCTGTACAGAGGATGTCATATTTCAAGGGCCAAGATGGAGGACGGAGCCAAGTGACCTCATTTTACCAATCAACTCCCCAGACCACCAGGCTACCATTACGTGTGAGGCAGAGGGGAGCCCTCCTCCACAGTACAGGTAAATTACCACATCAAAGTGCCATTCCCCACAAGCCTCAGCTGTCTACCTGCTCCGTGCTCCACGTCTGCGTCGTGTGCTGAAAATCCAATCCGGCTTAATTGCTTGTGAACCTTCATTGCTGCTTCCACAGAAATCAAAGACGGTCCCAATAGTGTTGGATGCTATCGATTTGTTAGAGAACAACGTTTTCTGGACATAAATGCTCGAGAGAGAGATAAGGTGCCATCCAACAAGGAGACAAGCTTCAAAGAGCAACTGCTTAATTGAGCATCTGTTTCTAATTGAAAAAAAAAAGCTTATCTGTTTTTGGCCTGAGCTATGATGTGGAGTTGGAGTCATGGAGCCGCCACTGTGGTTGATGAATATGCTAACACCTAAGATATGAGTGAGGTTAACCTTATTAATGATAAGATTTAAGGCATGGTGCGAAATGAAGCTGGCGATTTATAATATGGTGCACGGCTTAAGAAATCATTAGGAGAGAAAAGGAGATTTGAGCGACTCATTTGCACTGCAGATCCTTTGATATCTCTGTGGCTATTCCCTGGCGGTGCAGGGAGCCCAGCTTGAAAATGGCAGCTGGCTGTGTTGTTTTTTTTTGTGGTAGATTGTGTTTCAGAGCTTGGTCAGCACCATGTAGATGCACAGCAAGCAGAGGATAGAGGCAGTAACCTTGTGAGTGACATTCTGTTAAACGCTTACATTTCCTATAATGTGCGTGCACTGAAAACATGGTTCAGGCAGAGCAGCGGGGGGGTATCACTGTACATGTTGTGCAACCTGAGCTGGGATGAAGGCAAAACCATCACTTGCATTATCTCACCCGCAACTTAAAGCCTTTCTGACATTCACTTGTGTTGTTTGAGAGGTTTTCTCTTTGGGGCTCTTTGCAGCAGTAGGAAATGCCATTGTTGTCAGGATGATCCGCAGTTTGTTCTCTAGCTGAGCAAGCAGAGGTATCATGTAATATTAGAGGAGTGGATATACACAGATTCTCACTGCAAGAGTGTATCCTCATTTTAAAGCTGCTCTAATCAATATTTTAAGTGAACAGTGGCTCATATGACAGTGTGTTATGTGAAAGGACTCATTTGTAGTGGTGCTAGCTACTAGCTAGCACCACAGTCAATGGACATAGCCTTTAACATTTAGCAACATGCCAGATCTATTTGTCATAGATATAAAACAAAGGCTAAGAGGACTAAAACAGGGTTAGGAGTTTAATTTCTCGGGAATCATAGTAATACAACTACAAAAGAATGCTAATGTAGCTGCTAGTGTGGCAAGTTTGCTAACAGGTTAGCGATAGCTTTGTCGCAAGGTAATATTTTGTTATTCATGTAACTTTTAGGTTGTTCTGACCCAACTGGGCCAAACGGGTAGTAACAGTGTTTATGAAGTAACTGTGTGTGTGTCTGTGATACAGTGGTCATTCATAATGTTTAATCCTGATTGATACAGGTGTGTTTTCTAATACTGGTTTTTTATGGGTAATATCAATTGTAATATCAGTATGTCAACATTCTTTATATATTTCTAAAAAAAATAAAAACTTGTACAGGATTAGTATTTTAGTATACTGAAAAGGGAAAGTTATGGCATCTTTGGTTATAAACTTTGAAGGAAAGTATTTAACAAACTACTAAGCAAATGAACCGCCTTCTCAGAAGTGGCGAGAGTACAGAGCGTAGTGCTGACAATGTGATGACACAATGTCTTAATTACCCCAAGCAACATTTTTGTTATGTAAGTTTTCCTATCAGCAAATACTGAAGAGCATACACTCACTGCTTACTTTAACTGTTTCTTAATGCAAGTATCTAACTACCCAATCACATAGCAACAACATGTGCTCAGGCAGGTAGACACACTGAAGTTCAATCTAAACATGAGAATGGGCAAGGAAGGTGATTTAAGTGACTTTGAACGTGGCATGGTTGTTGGTGCCGGATGGGCAGGTCTAAGTATTTCATAAACTGCTGCACTAGTGGGGTTTTCCACACAGCCATATCTAGGATTTACAGAGAATGGTCCAATAAAGAGAAAATATATAGTGAGCGGCAGTTCTCTGTGAAAAAATACCTTGTTGATGCCAGAGGTCAGAAGAAACTACTCAGATCTGCTGTGAGTTGATAGGAAGGGAATAGTCGATCACCACTTGTTACAAGGTATGCATAAGAGCACAGTACATTGAAACATGAAGCAGATGGGCTGCAGCAGGAGAAGACCATATTGGATGTCACTGCTGTCAGCTAAGAACAGGACATTTAAGGCTACAGCTGAACAACAGAAGACTGGAAAAACATTGCCTGGTCTGATGAGTCTAGATTTCTGCTGCAACATTTGGATGGCAGGGTTGGAATTGTGATTTAAAAAAGATGAAGGCATGGCCTTCCTGCTGTGCATGAGTGGTTCAGGCTGGTTGTGGTTTTGTGATAACATGGGGATATATTTCCCCAGCCCTTCAGTATCAACTGAGTATTGTTTAAACACCACAGCTTACCTGAGTGCTGTTGCTTACCATATAGATCCTTTTATGACCACAGTGTACCAATGTTATGAACGGTGCTTCCAACGAAATAACGTGTCATGTCACAAAGATGACATCATGTCCAACATGGCTGTGCAGTCTACAAATCTGCATCGACTATGTGATGGTATCCTGTCAGCATGAAGCAAAATCTCTAAGAAGAGTTTCCAGCACTTTGTTCAATGAATCCCATGAAGAATTAAGGTAGTTCTGAATGCAAAAAGGGGTCCCAGTACCAGCGAGATGTAACTAATGAATTGTACTGCTGTCTGTAATATGCTAATATCAGTTATTACCTGCACCAGCAAAATCTTGGTGAACAGTCCCTGAAAAGACATTGATAGGTGCAAAGCTCTGTTTTCAGGCTGTTGAAACAACTTCTTTTTTCCCCCTTTCACTTTTCAACCAAATTATATGGGGTTCTGTTCTTTTTAATGTAGTTCTTAATTTGGGCAAAATTACACTGCATGAAAGGCAGCCCAGTTTTCAGTAACTATGACTCAATACAGCTATGACTGGTTGATCAATTTAAGCCCACAAAACAACAGCCGTGGACAGTTGGTGCTTGGTGGGTAATATCACCCTACGATATTGAAGATATACACCGCCCACATGTTCAGGAGTTTTGCTGATAAAAAGTCATTTTTATTGCCCTTTTGTTTTTATTATTTCTCTGATTTCAAATGCATTTCCTGCTTAACTCTACCCTACCTCGCTGGCGAGGCCTTGTGTGGCTTCTCATTTTCTGCAGTATCTGTCGTTCGCTAATTTTTCTGTGTTTCAAACCACTCCACTTCTGTTTGTAGAACAAAAACAACACAGATATCTCACGTTGTCCAATTTCATCTAGGTCAGTAGCTCTCGGAGTCACTGCCATCGCGTATTAATAAATAATGTGAAACGAGGTTTAAAAGGAAAAATTGATGTTTGAGTAAGCATACTCTGACCACTGTGGATTGACATTTTTGATAATGCTTTTAAAGACACTAGATTTTTGCCCTTAATGTTACTTTGAAGAAAGAGTCATTTTTGAGCTTTATTTGGGTTGCATCAGTTTTTGTGACACTGATTGTCCTTGACTTGTTTCCCTTCGGGCAAGGAGAGGACTTTTTTTTCTTTTTGTCCTGGTGATAAAATAGAAAGCGTAAATTCTTTGCAATTTATTTCACCAACACTGAAATTAGAAGCTCAAAACGTCCTAAATGTAAGCTGAAAGAAATGCCTTTAGGAAGTGGTCATGCTGTGACTTTCAGCAGACTGGGCATAAACTATATGCACAAGCCTACACACTGCCAATGAATAGTATTTATATAATTAGATATGCCAAGCGAGAGAGGGTATTACATTCAGAGCACTTAATTTCCTCAGTTACTCTAGCTATTAAGGAAATTCCATCAATTTGGTCTAATATCCATACAGAAAATTGGGCCACACAGTATTGAATTTGCCAGAAATGATGATGTTGTTAACCCTCGTGAGCGAGCCTCAAATGTGTTTGTAGCAGTGAGTTTGTCTTTTCGATTAGTATTAGGTATTTCGGCTTTTCAGCATCTCGCATGGCGCTGGAAAACACCTGAGGACATTTAGCGCTTTTAAAATGATCAATTATGAATCAGATATTACCCGAATCAATTTCACTTTCACTTTATTCGCCCTGGGAAGAGGCCAGATGTGCACAATGTGGTAGAAATGTATAGCAGGTCTAATATAGAGTGAAAAGTCCAAGACAAAATTTCAAGTTACACCTCTGCTGATATCAGTGAAAAGTAGCCTCTGCGTCATCTGACATGTCATCTGTTGTTGTTCGTGTTTTCTTTATTGTATTATCAGATGAGACACCTTTGGCAGCTTCGCGTGTCACCTGCAGTTTCTATGCAAGGATGTACCTCGCCTTCATCACCTTATCAGACACTTTCACACAATCCGACGAATCTTCTTTCTGTTTCTCTTCTGATCTAGCGCTCTCTTAAAATAGGCCAAGTTTCTGTTAGAAGGGACTTACTTGGCACCATCTTAACATTAGCCAACTTCTCTTGACACATGACACAGTCAGGCTGAGGGCTATTGTTGACCCCGTAAGACAGGCAGCTTTCACCAGAGTGTCATACTGACGCTTCTTCCCCCCCTGGTTCTTTAGGTCATGGGTCCTCTTCACTGGCGGTTATTGGTGGTTTCCAATTTCCTCCTCATTAACCTGCTCACTGTTAGTTAGTCGGGGCCTTTGATGTGTCACTTTTTTTTTCACATCCTCCAATAACTGCTTGAAGTTGATATTAATAAATTATATTTTCTACAGTTTTATATTGCAATTACAGAATATAGTCAAAAGGTCCCACCCAACTGACCTCCGCTGACACTTGTGTGGCTCGGTACAGTATATTGGAACCAGTGGCGTAGACCAGCGGTCCCCAACCTTTTTTGCGCCACAGACCGGTTTAATGTCAGACAATATTTTCACAGGCCGGCC